TCAAGACGGCTGAAATGGACGATTATATTTAGTAACTTGGGGTCATGGGTAATCTTCACTAAAGCGGTTTCTGTGGAGTGTTTAGGTGTGAAAACCTGTTTGGAGAGGGTTCAAGGGAAAATGGACAGAGGAACAAGTTTAACCACATGACAAGGAAACAAGACGCCAACCCAGGATGTGGGATATTCTACAGGGCAACTGGCTTGGTTTTTCAAACAAGTGAATGTCATGGAAAAAAATGGGGGGTGGGTGCTGTTTTAGATTAAAGGGGGTTTAAGAGACATAGCAACCAAATAAAAACTGTGGCCCTAGTTTGGATCCTGATTAAAGCAAACTAGAAAATTAGAGAAAGTTTAATACGGAACTGGTTATTAGATGGTATTAAATCATTCTTGCTAATTTTGTTCAGTGTGCTAATGTCTTTGTGACATGTAAGGAAATATCCTGTTTATTATTTTTGATGCATTCTGAAGAATTTAGGGGATGAAATGACATGCTCTTGGTATTTAACTCATAGTATTCAATTTAGGAATAAAGGAAGGGCCATGGGGTACTCTCTACTTTTGTGTGTGTTTGGAAATTGATATAATAAAATGTTAAAAAGAGAGAAAGAAGTGTAAACAACTTCTTGGAAGAGTTGTGCTTTAAAGGACAGTGGCTGGAGATAGCTGTGGAATCAAGAGGGTTTTGTCTGTAAGGAGGGAGAAATAGCAGCATGTGTGTTCGCTGATGGGAACATTTGCCAATGAGATAGAGACAGGAGAATTGCAGAAGGAATGTCCTTGAGCAAGAGGGAGGGGATGGCAGGGGCCCAATGCCCAACCATAAGGGTTGGCAGCAGACAGGTGTTAGGGGAGTTCATCTACCAAATCAGGAAGGAAAACTGAGAACCCGGACACAGATGCAAGCAGGTGGACAGCTGTGGCAGAGAGAGCTTGCAGAGGTTCTCTTCTAGTTACTCCACTTTTCTCAGTGAAATAAAAAGAAAAGTCATAAACTGAAAATGGAGATGTGGGAGGAGATACCAGAGGACTGAGGAGAGAGAGAGAGTTTGCCAAAGTTATCTAAGACAGTAGTATGGGAGAACGAAGGGACTAGGGAGATGGATGTGGTTACCAGGCAGCATGTAGGG